CGGGTCAGAGGCTGAGGGCGGGGATTAATACCAGTGTTCTTTTTCAAATATTTATTATTTAAATTGACAATGCAGTAGCATATTTTATCTAGATCTTCATTAACTTCGATCCTTCATCAATGCAGTCAATCCTTCATCGATTCATCAAATCAATCCTTATTATATTAAGAGACCAGTTAAATATTCTTAATTCAAGTATTTATGTTTTCATGAAATAATTTAAGCGATTGTAGGATTCCATTTTCATTTCCTCGATTATTAGCCCAGTCAAAGAAGCACAAATAAGGGGGTTTAACTTGCAAAAGGTCGGGAATTCAAATTTATTTTTTATATTGTTAGGTATGCAGAGACTATTAAAAATCCAAGTTTTCGACCTTGAAAGCCTTGTGGGTTCGCTGTAGTGCTCCAAAGATTATTGAAAGTTTAAACTTTTTTGTTTTATGATAAATATATCCTTTTTATAGCGACATAGATAAAAAATTGTTATGTTCAATCTTTAACAGCTTAAAATTACCAAACCTCTTTGTACATAACATTTTGTTTTTAAACCTACAGGAAGAAACTATCGAGCTTTAAAAATAAGTAAAGTTTTGAAAAAAAAAATTCAAAAATTGAAAATTAAAATATTTCATTAATATTTATTCGTTTATACAATCAAATATCAACACAATAATTATTTAACTATAACTATGCCACTTATGAGTACTTAATGATGTGACAGAGGACTCTAGACACATATGCCAGGGCCGCTTTTAAGTGTATTTTTTAAGCAACTGCTTCAAATCTTTTAATAAGTAATTAGTGTTTTGGAAATAGGAATGTATTCTCCATATGTTTTATTTCCGAGCGTTTTTCGTTATTGTTGGCCATTTATTTACAGAAGACGCTTGAGTTTCATCTATAGTTTGAACGACTTGAAAAATTGACATTACTGGTATTTTTTAATAGCACATTGTCAGAGCAAATTATTTTTTAACATTTATTCATGTTTTATTATTTCCAATCTATACATCTTTAATAAAAGGCTAATTAAGCCAAATGATAAATCTCAGTGACCGATAAATTAACTAAAGTAAAATACATCAATATGCTGTTAGAACACCATTTTGGGACAGTGCGATCGCTTTTTTTCGTTGGAACATTGGCTTTTCTTAATAAATAGTTACAAGAAACACAATTGTATGCAATATGGCTGTTTCTGAAATAAAATATATCATTACTTGTTCCTTCTTTTTTTTTCTATTGACATTGACATTGACCTTGTAATCTTTTGCCGCCTTAACAACCCTGCTTCTTCTCTGCCTATCTTGGGCTATTTCGTTCCAGTTATCTGCTTGCAGCTATATTGTATCTTGGTTGATTCGATCTATTCACCTGGTTTTTGGCCTTCCGTGTGGTCTTTTGCCTTCTATTGAGATATCCATTGTTACGTAGGGGCTTCCAGATGGATTACTACGAGCTATATGCACCGCCGATCTTAAGCTTCGTGCCTTTGTATCATGTGATATAGATTGACCAGGTTCTATAAGCTGCTTTTTATTGGTCTCTTTTCTCCATGTGTTAGTACTCTGAACCCTGATCGCTTCGGTTATCTAGCGAGGATATTTCTCCAATATCTATCAATACTTTTTTCTAGAGCGCTGGTTAGTGCCCAGGCCTCACAATCATATATTAGATCAGGTTTTATCAGAGCATTCTACATCCTTAATTTTAGAGTTTTCGGGATTTGAATACCTTTGAAAGGGAGATGATAACTCTGTTGTCACTAGTTATACGCTAGTCTCTGATCGTTGGTCATTCATTGAGATTATTGTGGAGCCGACTTTTTCTACCCTCGGGAACTATTCCCTTATACGCAGATTGGGGTTATTGGATTATGTTATTGGGATTGAATTGTGGGCTTATTAGTATATATTTTGTTGTTTTTTTCATTTGCATGTAGGCCGATTTGCTATACCTCTCTTATCACAGTCTTAGCGAGTTTAATTTAATGTTCTCTTGATTACTTCTAAAGACAGCTATATAATCTGCTTATCCAAGAATTTTATAGTTCATATCGACGAAGACCTCTCCATTTTCGTGTAATGTTATCACCTCATCTTATCTTATCACCTTCCCCATTTCTTACTTGTTAATGTTCTTTATTCAGAGTAAAGCTCTACCCTACAGAAATACGGTTTTTGCCCATGAATTTCCAAATTCTTCAATATTGCATCCAAATGTAGCTGTATAGGCAACTTTCTAATTTAATAAAAAAAAGCAAATAACTCTAATGAGTTCTACTTACGGCAGATTCGACATTATTTTGGCAGTAGACTGTATTTTTATTGAATGTGGTAGGTAATATGGATTATGTAAAGTAAAACTCACGCTTTTATGGTGGCTTATAAATGTTACTTGGTCTTTGAAGGAAGAACGGCGCCCTTCTCCACTCTGAGGTCCTCTCTGCTCTAGTGGCTAGACTGAAGTGGGATGAGAGAAGCTCGCAGCTTGAGTGACTTAACTCTTATCTTTTAGATCCTTATCAGATCTGTTCTTACGACTCACCGCAAGGTGGCGCTCGGGTACAAAATTACACTTATACAAAACAGCAGCTTTTATTACCAACTGGACATCAATATTCAATTAAAGCAATAGCTCATTATTGCAACGAAGAAAGACCTGGAGAATAGCTAACCAGATCTTGTGAAATAGAAAAAAAATTATCCATTGTACTCCTTGTACACGTTCTTTGACAGAGTAAAGGATTCCAAAAAAAAATCAAAACTGACGTCAAATTTCTTTTTAACACATTGAAAAACCTTTACATTCAAATTTTCAGACAAATCTACAAATAATAATTATTTAAAATGTTCGCCTAGGTAGACTTTTATTTTCACTTACCGATATATGAAATGTATAGGAAGGAAAAGTATCAAGATCGTGAAAATTTTCGAATCTGAGTTTTCAAAGGAAATACATGTCCCGCAAAATGGTCTGTGTGTGTGTGTGTCTGTCTGTATGCCTGTATGTATTTGAACAGTCTAGCTCATTAACGAATAGTCGTACCAAAGTGAAATTGCATATTTAACGTTTGTATATTACTAAGATGTTGCAGCAAACCTTTGCCGATCCTCTCCGTTTACTGATAGCCAACACCACTCTGAACAGGGCTTTCGTATTGTTAATTTAACATTTATACATCACTTATCCATAATTTTTCAAAAAGATTTTCACATGAAATCGTGAGCATCTACTAATATAAATTCAATAATATACAATATTTACAAACGTTAAGTTATTTTTTCGATGTGTTTCGTGAGAAAATGTTTCCGATAAAAATCAGAATTTTCCAAAAGATCCATTTTTCCCCACAATCATTAGTAATATTTGATACTACCCACAATCGTAAAAGAAAATGGATAGTGATGCAAAAGTATAAATTTAACATATACGATAAGGGGGAAAACATGGTAATTAATTGTTTTCAACATCATACCGTCGTTTTCACTTTGTCTTCCCTCTATATGAAAGTATCTATCTCTTCTAAGCTTGATAAGTGATAGTTGTATGCGCGCACCGCAGCAGATTTTTTTTTTAATATTCTAACAAATGCTCATCAATTTTTTTTTATATTGATCCATCGACGAATGATTGGCACATTTATTAGCAATAAAAATAATGAAGAGAAGAATAGTTGGGGTGCTCAGTCAAAAAGGAAGGCAAAAAATAAATTATAAATAATAATATAAATATAAATAATATAAATAAATATAAATAATATAAATAATATAAATTATAAATATTATAATTTATTTTTTGCCTTCCTTTTTGACTGAGCACCCCAACTATTCTTCTCTTCATTATCCACGACAGTCAACCAATTACCAATTAGCAATAAAAATAATATTCAATATGAAAGAGGCCGATATATCGGTTTAAGAAAATTACCAGAAAATTTGGTGGTGGTGCACAAAAAAAAAAAAAGTAGAAATCAAACACTACTAATCTTGATAAAATAAGGTTGTAAGGCTGATATATTGGTCTTTGGAATATTGGAATTTGCCCAAATTAGAGGAAGGAGAACACCAGAAAAAAAAATTAAATAAAAGTTGGTCAAACTCTACCAATCCAATTTCATTAAAATAAGGTCATAAGGCCGATATATCGGTTTTTGATGATTTTTTTGTTTATATTGATCCATCGACGAATGATTGGCACATTTATTAGCAATAAAAATAATATTCAATATGAAAGAGGCCGATATATAGGTTTAAGGAAATTACCAGAAAATTGGGTAGTGTTGTACAAAAAAAAAATTAAATAAATAAGAAATCAAACCCTACTAATCTTGACAAAATAAGGTCATGAGGGCGATATATTGGTCTTTGGAATTTCAGTTTTTTCCCGAATTAGGGTATTAGTCCAATCTCATTAAAATAAAGCAATACGACCGATATATCGGTATTTAGGATATGAGGAGAAGATGAGTAAAAAAAAACCGATAGATCGGCCCATCGGCAGATACCGATAATCGACCAAAAAACTCAAACTAGAAACTCATAAATACTCATTTGCTATCTACTTAAATCGTAAGATAGTTTGACTACAAAATCGAAAAAAAAAATAATTACCCTAAAAAAGTATTAGGCCGTTTGACCTATATAACATCGTTAATTTGATATATTGGAGTTGGAGGTCACGCCAAATGATCCAATGAGTTTTTAGTTCCTAATTAATTAGACAAAGTTTGACGATATCCAAATTGAAAGTGCCCATTTCCGAGAATTTTCGTAAGTAAAAAAATTGTAGTTTACTATGAAATGAAGCTGTTTACGAAGTTTAGTTTTAGATGGATCTTAATAATTTGATGAAAAGGGCTCTGCACTACGGACTAATAATTTTTGTATAAATAAATTTAATTTCCATAATTATTGATTCCAAATTGAAATGATTTTTCAATTCTTGTTTCAGGTTATGGCAATTTGGTACCCAAAACAGGACTTGGAAAAGCTGTTACCATGGGTTATGCAGCTCTTGGCATTCCTCTTGTTCTGTTATACTTATCAAGTGTAGGAAGCCTTCTTTCAAGCTGTGCCAGAAACATCTTCACCCGCTCTTTGTGTTGTTGCCTGTGCTCAAACTGTGGTTACTGTTGTTATGATGAAAAGAGGATGCAAGAAAAAGAGCGAAGAATGAGAAAAAAAAGGGAGCGACGAGAATATGAGCAGCGAATGCAGGGCCTCCGTACTGGTCAGGAACCATTTTATGTCCGTTCAGCTTCCGCTTACACAACCTCTACTACTAACAATCTGCTTAGTCCATTGGAAGAAAACAAGGTTCAAACGAGGTCTACCTCTGTTTTGGATGCTGAATGCCTTAGCAATGACACCTCCTTTGTTGATTCCAAATCAAGTGGAAATTTTCTAGCACCTCTGCTTCTGTGTTTTATTGTAATGATTATCTATATAGGTGGTGGAGCATTCATTTTATTCAAGTTAGAAGAATCCTGGTCCTATTTTGAAAGTATATTTTTTTGCTTTATGGTACTAAGTACTATAGGTTTCGGAGATTCTGTCACTAATGATACGACTTTTCCTGGAAGAGTTCAATACAAAACTCCAACAGAAGAAGTGACCGTATGGTTTTGCTCTATCTACATTCTCTGTGGTTTGGCTCTTACCTCAATGTGTTTTAATGTAGTTCATGAAGAAATTGTTCAGAGGCTCAAAAGTCATTATATTATTGTTAATAACCTAACTGGTTCCAAAGAAAATTCTGTCAACTCTTTTAAAATGACAACCACTGCTACATTTACAGAGGAGCCTTCTTCAAATGAATACCTGTCCTCTTGACAGAGCCAAAAATTGCAAGATTATGAGAAAGCTGAATCACTGAAAATTCTCCCAGAAGCACTAGATTTGGACCCAAGTTGTATTGACATTTCATTCACTTCAGTTATTCCAGTCACTAAAAGCCCAGCATCTCCAAAATCTGAAAATATAGAATAAAACTATGGGCTGATTTGTGTACCATTACAAGTATGTATATATATGTATATATATATATATATATATATATATATATATATATATATATATATATATATATATATATATATATTATTTATTGTAAAATATTTACAGAATTCTAAAATACTGATTCAGTGATTAACTGTTGGTTTTTAAAATAGTATTTTTAATCATGTCTGAAAATTATGAAATAGTCGTATAATATTTAAACTATATTAGCTTTAAGAAAATCTAGACATTGAGAGACATTGAGGAGAAGCAAACTGGTTAGATTTATTTTCTGCTCATAAAATCAGTGCTTCTAAAACTTAAAATGTTAAAGATATTAAGGAAACAATGACAAAAATAATAAGAAAAAACTATAAAGCATTTAATCTGATTATTGGTAGCATAAACTATCCCTATATTTGATGAATATATTTGTAAAGTTAACAATGAACATTGCTTCATAATCTTTATGAAATATATAAAAGTATAAAGTACTGAAACAATGTTTCTTACTGTATATATGTAAATATCAGATATATCTAGTGTGCAATGTTTTAAAATTAATATGTTAGTATTAATATTTGAAAAAAAAAATATATATATATATGTAAGTGTGTGTGTATACATATATATTTACAAATTGTCTTCAATCAGCCTTTGAGTACTATATTTTAACACAATTATTTAATTGGAAATAAGGTCACCTATTAATTATTCAATAAACTACTAAATGTTTATTGCTTCTGTGTTTATTCGACGTTTCGATCCTGGTTTTTTTTATAAGTTTACAATGGGATCTTCTTCAAAGTTTTAAAATATAGCCACGATACCTCGATACCTCAGGCCAGGGAAACAGTCTCAGCACTGTCTACCAACACATATATTAAGCTACTGGCTACAGCACATATACACCAGTAGCTTAATATGTTTACGGTGCTGAGACTGCCGGTGAACTTTGAAGAAGATCCCATTGTTAACATAAAAAAATACCGGGATCAAAACGTCGAATAAACACAGAAGCAATGAACACTTTGTAGTTTATTGAATCATTAATAAGTGACCTTATTCCCAATCAAATAAATATGTTGAAATATATATATAATATGTTACTGTAAATAAAAAATATCTTCTAAAGCTTACATTCTAATGAATTTCCATGTTCAAAATATATAGGTGTATATAAAATAAATGTGTATATCATTGGTTATTGAGAAATATCATTAGTTTAATCATTAGGATAATATTTCTGCGAGAGTATTTTTTTTTAAATATTTAAAAATATATTTAATAGTTGTTGTGAGTTATTATTGACTCACATTTTTATTTCTCAGTAATATTGCATAAATTGTAAGTAGTAGAAATTTATATTTCCTATTTCAAGTTTACTTAATCTTTTACGTTTTCTTTTATACTTTTTTCACTATATATGAGCGTTATTAATATTTAAATATATAATAAAATGTTACTGGCAGCAGCCTCAAAGTTTAAAAGATTAATAATAATCTTTTATGAGAGTTTTAAATTTTAAGGATGATTAGTACTCAACAAATAATTTTAATATAGATATAAATGTAAAATTAAGCATTGTTCAAATTTCTTTATATTACTATGAATAGATATTGCTGTTTATGTTTGATGTGCTGTATTTGTAGTGAAATCATTTTATTTTTCAAATATTCACTGATAATGTTTGAAAATTTGATGTCTACTGTTAATTGATGAAACAAAAATAACAAACGTATAATGCATGGATTAAAAAATTAGACTTCACTTACATAAATGTACCGTGTGTGTGTATACATATCTATTTGGTGTCAATATATACACATGCATATATAAGTTTTGTGTGTATGATAATTAGTTGGTCAATCATGGCTGACCGTAGCATTGTTAATAATAAGTATCTATTTTAGCGTCATTTGTAAAAAATCACTATTGTCTATGTGACCAAGCCTCATTCTATGTATTTAATTTATTTTAATGTTATATTTGAACAATATTCAAATGTTATTCAGTTTTATTGTCTAAAACCAAAGAAAGATCCATTAAGGTCTATAATATAAATTTCTGTTATTGAAAGTATTAATGGAGTTTTGTTTGGAAAATGTACATATTTTTAGGACTATATAGATTAAATTAGAATATATGGATTGGTGATAAATTATAATTTGTTTCAATGAAGTTCATTAGTAAAATCAGCAGGAAATTTTAATTTAAATGTTATTTAGAGATGAGTTTTATGGTTATGATTTGGAAAAAATAAATAAAAAAATACAAAACATTGTAAAAGAAGCACAACAGATAACTACATATTATAACCATGATTCATGAAAAATGCATTTCAATTTAACTTTATTCCTTCATATTTCTTACGTCGCGAATGTTGAATGGCAACATTGAAAATAATAATGGTCTGATGGTTTCATGATCAAGACACTATGGACAAAATATTAAGAATGTATAATATAGTATAATATTTTTGAAAACAACCCTATTTTTAACAGGATTCGTCTTTCTGACTTATTACTTATCGTCTTTGTTTAAAATATTTTACACTACAAGTTGTCAAGTAGGATTTTTTTTTCTTTGTCATTTTCAGTTGATGATATTACAATAATTTATTGACTATTAGTGAAATCCCAAAAGTATATCTAGATATAATCTGAAAACATAAGAAAATAGGTTACTGACCAATTTGAAAAAGTGCTATGGTGCTATGGCTCCTGGGTAAAATTTCGCCCTTTGTGCCAACATCCGCATTTCTGGAGTTGGTGAAAAAAGTCTAAAAATGTCAATTTTTTGTTCTATTTCATAAATATCTCAGAAAATATTAGGTTTAGAGGAAAATTGTCCAAGTACAAAATCAAAGTAAATTAGATGTTCTTTGAATAAGGTCTAGTTCACATTTTGTAATCCTAACTATTTTGATATATTTATAAAGGAAAATAGGATAAAATGTCCATTTTGTGAAAATTGTATTCATTGTCTTTTAAAATTGTTGTAAGCATCTTCATCTTTGCGATTGAGGGTATACTAGTGGAAGTGTAACGAACACTGAGGAAAACATCAGGCCTTTGTTGTTTTGAATGTCCTTGCTTTAGTCAGTTATTTGTACAATGTCACTATATTATAAACATAAAGAACATAATGTATCTTTAAATAAAAACTTTTTTGATTGTTTAATTTGGTTTTAGATTGGAATATAATTTCGAAAATTGGAATGTTATGCATTCATTGTTGTCATAGCCAGCTCAAAATAGAAGAGAGGGCAATTATTTAAAAGGGATGAAATAATTTAAGAAAATGGAACAACTCTTTATTACCTAATGGATTTCTTTTAAAACATTAATATACTAATAACCAATAGGTAGGGATGCCCATCTCCCTCAACAGAGCAAGCGAATAGATAATTTAAAAAAAAAATAATGTTGATCATGTACAATTATACTTGTTGTGATATGTTCCGTATTTATTCCTTGCCCTCTGGTTTGAAATTTTTCTTTCTAAATATTCATAAAAACGTCAAAATATGCCTTCCTCAGAAATTTTAAAATTTGTCTAAATATGTTCCCCTCAAAAGTTACGTTAAGGCAATTTGCGCCATCAAACCCCTTTCTGGGCACCCCTACTTTTTTTCAGGAATTTATTGTTTATATTTCTTGTTATTTTATTTTTTGTGCTTCAGGAGGGAGGGGAGCACCTTTCTCTCCTTTGGACAAGTTCATGGTATTTGTTTTAATTATTAAGAAATATTTTATCATTAAGTTATAATTAAAGAAATGTATGATTAAAAGCGGATATATATAATTGTAAATGTCGTTTTTATTTAAATCTAAGGCAGATAATTGCAGCAATGGCTTAATATAGCATTTTCATGACAAATATTAATTCTTATCATCAGTTTCATTGATTTCAAAATTATGATTCCTCATAGGTTTTGAGAAAAATAGCACTGCCTAATGAAAATTTCTATTCATATAAAAAATACAAAAGTGAAATAAACAAGTGGTATACCAACATTTTAGATTATTGTTATTTGTTATTGTATCGAAGGTGTTCAGATAAAGTTGTACTGTCAAAAGTTGAACATATCATGAACAAGAAAATGTTTTATTTAATTTAAATAATATATATATATAATAATTAAATCTGACATTTAAATTTATCATATAAATTGGAAGATTAATTTTCACAGAAATATGTAATGGAACTATCATTCTTCTTAGAGAAACAATACTAAAATGTTTAAATTTTTTAATATCTTTTCCTACTAACATTAATTTCTATATAACTTATCATGATACAGTATTCAATAAATAAAAGGCTTCATTTATAACTATATTACGTCATTTTTGTAATCTTTGTTTATTGACTAAGATTTCTAATTCACTCAACTACCTCCCTGGTAGTTTAATAGTGTTAGTAGATAAACATTAATAGTCCTTCTTTATTAAAACCTTTATCAAAATAATGAAGTATTAATGAATAGATTTATATTATTAGGAATTCCTAACCATTTTTAAATAAAAAACTACAGTTGTTAAATATTTCATCACCTCAATAGGGCGTACTTATTTACTTGGCCATGTTGTATACTCTGATTTTACTTTTTTTATATTTTATAATAGTGCTCAACACAATGTTTTGTAGAAGTTGTACAAATTTAAAGTAGTTTTATAATGTAAATATTATTTTGAAATTAAATGTGATTACACAAACTGTTTTAATTTTAATTTTTTGTTTATTATCCCTAAATCATCTATTTTCAGTTATATACACATACATACATGCATAGAATATTAAGAGTTAACACACATACATGCATAGAATATTAA